AAACATGAACTTTAAATGGGTGTTTTACCATCAGAGCAATAGGTTTTTTATCACGTGACCATGCTGGAAGGGTATTATAGAACATTTGAAATGTAGTTTTATCAGAAAATACCACCTTTTTCCAATTATAATTCACGTAATCACGGGCCTAAGACAACTGGTTCTCTTTTGCTTTCTGTGTCAAAAGAGGAACTTTTCTGAGACAAACAGATACAAATCCAAGATTTTTTAACTCATGACGAATGGTCTGTTCACTAACTTCAAGCTCTGGGTTTTTTCATTAAGTTAGGCCTTCATTTCACTTGCTATAGTGAAATGATTATGCTTGACAATCATTCCAATTTAGCGGTGTTTTTTAGGAGTCAATTTTCGTGGTTGACCAGACCGATAACCTATAGTAATCTTACCAATTTTCTTTAATGAACTAATATAATGATAACAGGAGCATAAGGGAATACCGGTTCTTTGTAAAATTTCTCTTGCATTTCAGATTTTTCGCTGCTAAAGGATTTCGGTTTCTTTCAAGAGTAGTTAATACTATTTTAAATAAAAAACATGAAGAAATTCATTTTTTTCTACAACTTTTTTTTGTTTATTTATTAAATATTATAAAGAACACTCTAAAAATACTGAAAAATTCTAGAGTGAAAAATGAACATGCTACGACTCAAAAACAAGTAGCACTTATAGTGCCATTACTTTCGCCAGTGACTGTAAATTTAATTTTTCAAAGGTTAAAGGATCTGCAATAAAATTTTCCCCAGATTAAAAGATGTTGGAATGAATAGATACTTTTATATTATCAATTAGACGTTAAATCAACATTATCAAAGTGCTCAAATAGGTCAAGTATAATACTACATGCATCACAATAATAATCATATCCCTCATATATAATAAGTTTTCAGCATAAAATTTTCCATATTTATAACGAATTAGTTTCATTTCGATTGCATTCATCGATTGAATTACAGTAAAGGTAGATGTTAATTATTATTTTTGATTTATTTTCATTTACTTTTTTTATTATTTTATTTTTTAGCTATTGATTGATCGGCATTGGTTTCGATTTTTTATTTCTTCATTTAGTTTTAGTTGTTTATTTTTTTTTTACTAAGTCTTTAGGGTTGTCATTTTCTATTTGTTCTTTCTTTTAAAATTTTGTTCTATTACCGTGTTGATAGATTTATTTTTCCAATTTGAAATTTTTCGTTATTTTTTAAATTTCCTCTTTAGAGTTCAATCGTTTCAGATTAAATAATAGATAGGTATTTTTAATAGTTCTCGAGTTATTTTTCATATTTTTAGTTTCTCAGGATTCTAATTAGAATGCTTCAAAATGCTGTGTTAATTATATAATTGGCATAATTATTTTAATGTTACGTCGGTTTATCTAATGTATTATTATGGGCATAAAATATCTAAGTAAAAAATTTCTAGAGTAGATGGTAAAGAAAAACTAAATGCTTCATTCGTTTAATTTTTACTAGCATTCGATTATTGTTAACTAAGACACGACTCTAATTTTAAGATTAAATCAATGCTGAAAGTTCTATTATAAATCATTCTTATTTATATACATATTATGAAATTTTTAAAATTTATTTAATTAATCCTATTTTAATTATATCATTTTCCACGAACTTTCAAAACATACAGTGCGAATTGTATTAAATTTGTTTCGCTAAAAAAAACTCGTTCTACCAGTAAACTTGTTGTTTTAATAAAATAATTTAGTAGTTAATGTTTAGTTACCTATAACTGCAAGATATTTTCTAGCTATAAATATGAATACTCATTTTATTTAAATATATTAAATAAATGTCCAGAGCGGAGCGAAGGTGTGTGATGATTTAAGTTTATCTTTATATGTAACGTCATACAGCATGATCAGCATATCAATTAATTAATTACTAAAGAACTATCCATTTACTTACCTACATTTACACCTTTTTATTACTAAGAAACTATCTATATGTAAGTCAATTTTTACATCTTTTTTATAATCAAAAAAAATATATTGCTTTATTAATACTCAGTCAGTATAATGATTATTATATAATATTAGTTATTTATTAATAACAAATAGAATATATAGTATTTCACTTCAGACTCACAATAGTTTCCATTTTCTAGTATAATACATATCTGCCAAAGAATATCTTTATTTTGTATTACACGAAAGACATTTAAATATAATTCTACCTCATTTTGTTAAATGTTTTATATTTACCAAAATTTGATTTAAGATTACATCACTCTTATCATTAATATTTTTAACTTCTAAATCATCAAAAACAGCTTCTTTAGCATAATAAATAATTTCCATTAGAAATCTTAACCTTGTTCTTATGATTTAAGATTACTAATTTTAGAGAAATCTTATTACTTATTTATAATAAGTAACCTCTTCAATAATTATAATAAATATTATTTGTAAAAAATAAGTATGATATTCAAAATTGGCAATTTTATTAGGTCGTTAAATACAGAACTGGTTTAAGGGATCCTATTCTAAATCCTAAAATCTTTAAATATTAGGATTCCAAAAGATTTATTAATTATTTTCAATAAGTAGTTTATTATAATAGACAAGTTTAATAATAAATTGTAAAAATAATTTCTTTGTATTTTAAAATCCCTAGTTTTTATTTTAATCACTCCTATTAATATTTTAATTATGTCAATTTTATGTAAATAAAAATTAAACTTTATTAAGAATGTGATTATAAACTCATTAGATTTATTATCTGAAAATCATAAAAAAATGAAATTTGTGAAGAATTTTGAAAAAACTTAATTAGTTGAAAATGGTAATGATACTTTATTTTAAAAATAAAAATTATTAAAATAATATTATGATTTTTGGAAATTATATGAGGTTAGATATATGCAAATATGGTACACTACATTTTTTTTCTTATTTTTTTTATCTTTTTTTGAAGCGCATCTGTATCATTAAATATAATACTTGATATTTATTAACACATTTATAAATCTATGACAATAACAACTACATCATAATATACTTTAGAATGCATATATTAAACTTATGTAAAATAAAATTTAAAACAAAATTTTGAAATTTCTATAATTCTTTTCTATTTTGAATAGTTGTTTAAAAATTTTTTTTTGTTTGTGAACTTGCATGTAATCAATTTTTTTTTTGTTTTTAATTCATTTTGAAAATATTATACTTTATATTGAAGAATATGCAAAAAAAAAAAGTAATTTTTCTAAAAAAATATTTAAAATTTATACAGAATACTGAATGATAATACTAATGATCTACTAACAAAAATAGAAAAACTAGGGTATTTATAGAAATTTATTATGTAATTATATATATATAAAAAAAATTTAAAATGAAAGCTGAATTGTTTTTACATAAAAAAGAAAATATTATCTTTGAAACAATTGTAAAAACTCTTATTATATAATAGTTTTAAGAAGAAATTTAAAAGAAGTCTTAATAGACTTAAAAATTAGAATTAAGAAATTAAAATAAAGTAATGAATAATTACATTTACAATTCAAAAATTTAGAGAATAAGTTTGAAAAGCGAGAAGAAGAAATCAAAACAAGTAAAAAACTATTAATTATTTACAAGAAAAGATTATAGAATGAGAAAAAATAAACAAATATAACAAAATTATTAATGAATTAGAAAAAAGAATCAAAAGCCTTGAATTAATTATTTATAATACTACTGTTAGTTTAGCAATTACAGAACTTAATAAGGATAATATATTAAATACCAAAAGTGGATTACAAAAATATCAAAAATTAGTAAAGTTCACTTGTAATTTTACTCAAATTACTAGCTTATCAATGATACCTGATTCTTTAACAGTATTCTAGTATAATAACACTAAACTAAATAGCTTATCAACTTTACCCAACTCATTAACAGAACTTAATTACTCTAATATTTCATTAACAATTCTATTAATTTTACCTAACTTCTTAATAAAACTCATTTGTCATTTTACTAAAACAAATAGCTTATCAATTTTACCTAACTCTTTAATAGAACTTAATTGCTCAAATACTCTAATAAATATCCTACCAACTTTATCTAACTTAATAGAACTTAATTGCTCTAATACTTTAATAATTACCTTACCAACTTTATTTAACTCATTAATAAAACTCATTAGTTATTGGATTAAAATAAATAGCTTACCAACTTTATCTAACTCTTTAACAGAACTATTTGCTCTAATACTTCAATAACTATCCTATCATCTTTACCCAATTCATTAATAGAATTTAATTATTCTAATACTCTAATAACTTTTCTGTTAACTTTATTCAACTCCTTAATAAAACTCATTTGTTATTAGATCAAAATAAATACCCAACTCTTTAATGAAACTTATTATTACTAATATTTTAATAACTATCCTATCGCCTTTATCTAACATATTAACAGTACTTAATTGGTCTAATACTCAAATAACTATCTAGGGTTAAATCAGTCTGGTCCAATATAGTTCAGTCAAAAAGACTGGTCTTTCATCTTTCTTTAGATCAGACTGATTATAAGTTAGTTCTAGAACTAGTTCTAAAACTGGTCTTATACTATTTGGTTACTAACCAGTCTAATTTAATCTAAGAATTGTTTTCTCTTGTAATAAACTGATTTATAAGACTGATTCAAGAATTAGTATAAAACATACTAGAAAAATATACATATAAAATAATTAATTTAATAAATTAATTATATAAATTAATAAATAAAAAAGTATAATAAAATAATTGTATACGAAATAATTCCTACACCTTCTTAATCTTATTAATTTTCTATTTCTGATATTTTTATTTGAATATTATTGTTAAAGTAAAATATTTGAACAGATTCTAAAACTGACTTATGGACTGAACCATCCCATAAGAGAGATAAAAACTGGGTTGATCTAACTCTAATTTTGTAGTATTTAATAAATAAAACAATTTATTTAGTATTTATAAAATTTAAAATAATATGTTATAAATAATAAAGGACAGTCAAGACTAATTCTTAAAATATAAACTAAAGATTACAAGGATCAGTCTCATTAATCAGTCTAAGACCAGTCTAATCAGAACTGATCCATCTCTATAACTATCCTATTAACTTTACTTAGCTCTTTAACAAAACTCATTTTCATTAGACTAAAATAGATAATTTACCACTTTTACCCAGCTCTTTAATAGAACTTATTTACTCTAATACTCCAATAACTATCCTACTAATTTTATCCAACTTATTAATAGAACTTAACTGCTCAAATCTTCAATAACCATCCTGTTAACTTTACCTAATTTCTTAATAAAACTCATTTGTCATTGGACTAAAATAAATAGCTTATCAACTTTATCCAACTCCTTAATAAAACTTATTTGTTTTAATACTTCAATTACTATTCTATTAATTTTATTTAACTTATTAATAGAACTTAATTACTTTAATACTCTAATAACTATTCTATCAACTTTACTTAACTCCTTAATAATTCTCTATTGCTTTAATACTAAAATAAATAGCTTACAAAATTTTCTGATTCCTTAACGAATATCAACCTTCAATCTTTAATAACTCTATAAATCAATAACTATTAATGTACTAAGTTTTAAACTTTAACTTTATATAATCTTTCTTTTAAGTTTATGTTTTTTGGTAAAGTAATTGCATGATAAACTTTATTAAAAATTTTAATATTTGAAGCTTTAAAATTAATATTGCTTTTACTCTTTTAATAAGCAAATATTTAGGAAAAAATTTTGCAATGATTATATTTATAAATTTTTACAATTGATACTAATTAAAATAATTTATAATTTTTTGAAATATAACAGAAGACATTTACTTTTAAACATTTTAAATACAATATTATTCTGTCCTGTATATTAATTAACAAATCAGATTTTGAATATTTATTATTGATTATATATTATATTTCATATTTTGAGTATTATATTAAAATTTTCTTTAGTATATAACATTCAATTTGCATTATTTGATAAAATATGATTAATTATATGCTTAGATACTTTAATGATTTTTATTATTTAGTTATTTATAATAAGAAAAAGATCAACTTAATACAGAAAATATTTTTTTTGAATTTAAATTTTAGAAATAAATTTAATGATTGATTTTATATATTATAATATAAACTTATTAATTTATTTTAGAAAAACTTATAAAAAAATTGTTTATAATATTTAAAATTCATTATACTTTTACTTCTTTTTATTTTCAATTATTATAAAATTATTAAAGTTAATTTAGCTAATTATAATTTTTTATTATAATTAAAAATTCATTTATATTATAATTTTT